AAGTGACCAATAGTGAAGTGGATGAAGCCTGTCAAGCGGATCAACTGGACAACCGCTTCGCTATTGGTCGTTTCACCGAATTGACCAATACGGAGCGGATCAAGTGGATTAACAGGACCAAGTCTGGCGCGTGCCTATAGAAGGTGCTCAAACTAACCTGCAAGATGTTCGTTCCATTTTTGAAGTTTGTGAATGATTTGACAACCTCGCCATTAATAGCATCAATGGATCGACGCCAATTTGCAGAAAATGACTGCACCACTGCCGTGAGCTTGTCTGTAACGAGCAAGTTTAGGGTGGCGACCATTTCGTCCAAGCTTGACCAAAAAAGCGAGTTAATAAACAAAAGAATATGACAAGGATGTACTCACCATTGTATCTAACAAGCAAATGCGTATGTCCTTGTTGTACTAAAGGCTCACATTCACTCACAAATGAAAGCAGTGGTGAAAAATGTGGTTGCAAAGTGGCCTGAAAAAAAAACTGCCTTATAAAGCGAGTGAGTGGATGCCATCAGAAAGAACCAACCTCTACAAATTCTCCTATAGCCTTCTGCTCTAATTCATGGATAATGGAATGTATTCTGCTGTCTTGTACAACTCTTTCCTAAGATAAAAACGTTGAAATTGTATGTGTGAAAACATGAGAATATAAACACGATAGAAACTTACGTCTATTATGGTCAATGTTAAATCGTAATTGTTGATCAAAAATACGAGGCGATCACGAGTGGACGGTAGTGTTGCTGACATTCTCAAAAGTAATTGCTCAACAGCATCTTCACATGATTCCAAAATTGCTTCCATCTTCTGTCCAACCTGCATAGTTCTTGTGAAATTTATAATCCACAGTCAAAAATTCATTTCCATACCTCTCGTCCACTGGACTCCGTAACTACTAGGAATGCACAGGTAAGTTCTGCATAGCGACGCACTATCTGCAATGCATTTAAATGAGTTCATAAGCAAGGCGAGAAAGTGGAAACATACGTAGTGCGGCCTAGTATCTATAGCTGTTTGCATACGTTTCACATCGAGCGCCTTGACGCTGTCATTGTGCATTTGCATTACTTGAGCCAACCTCGTCCACAACTGATTTGAGATAGTTTCCCAGTATCTGAAGGACAACGGTAAATATAAACTTTATCCATAGAGACCCCCAAGAATGAACGAAAAGTATGATGGAT